AAAGAGGAGAAAAAAAAAGACCCATTTCCAATCCAAAGTCTAACTATGTATATTATATACATTTTTTCATATCTGTTAATTTCATGAAAATGCAAGACTTTATTGGATATTATCTACTTATTTATATGACTTCATGGATTCGATTCGAAAGATATCGTATGAACTAAATTGTTGTCGTTATGCATATTCTAAGATATACTAAGTTGGGTATCATTTTTACACAAATGGGTTTTTGCTCAATAAGAGAGTCGCCAAGATTAAAACAGAGAGTTGAATTTTTTGCAAGTAAAATTCATAGAAAACAAAAGAAGTAGATGAGGAATACATGGAACGATGAGAGAGCAAAAGAAAGTGGGTAGGATTGGGAATATGTGTCGGGTTTTGTTTTGCCAAGTTGAGAGTTTGAGACCGAGAGAAAAGTCAAAATGGAGGTTCTGAATTTAAGAGAAAAAAAAAAGGTAGGAGTTTTAGGTTGAGGCATTGGGAATTGAAACAATGGCAGAACAGAGATTGAAGGGGTTGGTCAGAATCAGGAACACATGTAGTTTTGGGGAGTGAGATTTATAAATATATTGTTTTCTGTCGTGTACTACATGTCGTTTTGATGGGGGAGTTTGTGTTTTTTTTTTCTGGCTGATCCAAAAGAGATGACGTCGCAAAATCAGTGCCCTTTAGCGTTTGGAATCTAATGGTGGGAAGGCAATAATTTGTGTTTATTAATTATAAAGGGATGGGGTCCGTAAATTAGGGTTTGTAAATTGAGGGCAGCCAGAGATTGGGTTTGGATGAGGACAAGGCATTAGAGTTTGAGAGTGTTTGAAGTTCAGAGGTTTGTTTTGGAGTTTACTAGTTGTAGTGTAGGAGTGTTTGGTTTTTGTTTGCAGTTTTACAGGCTACTCTTCTTCTTTTGAAAGGGAATATGGACACATCAACATGGAACCTTGTTCCCAAAAGAGAGAAGATTTCTGTTCAATTCTTTTCAAACGATTCGGACGGAAAACGATTCGGATGAGAAAAAGACGTATATTATGTTTAGATAATCTCCTTGATGCGCTCAGAAGTAGACCGGTGAATGACTACTTAAAAGAAAGACTTCGAAGTCATTTCTTCCTTCGGCCTTCGGCATATCCAAATTTCTAATATTGGCTTAATAACTACATATATTCTTTCTAATATTGGCTTAATAACTACATATATTCAATTAAGATGAAGTAGGCATCTTAAATCCAAAAGAAAAACCATACAAATTAATATAAACAATAGTGTAGAACTCTTTCTTTGGAGAGTTTTTTTGTCTAGAAAACAAAGGCCATGTGAGAATCACTTTGGAGGGTAATTTGGGACACAAATTGCCTCATTGTGTCCTTGGTTCATCATGATGAAGGCATTTTCAAGCCTCTATAATTTATGAACAAGGAAGCATTACAATTTAGAATTGCTTTGAATAGTTACAGCATGGAAAACTTCACAGCAGTTCATTTTCAGGATGCTATTGACAATTTAAAACATGAAAGTGTAACATTTACATCACTCACCCACATTATTTTCGCTATTTACTCAGATTAAACTTATGAAAGGTGTATACAGAAACAGAGTAGGAACCTCCAGATTTTTCACCTAGCTTTTCTTCCTCAAGGTAACCAAGTCCATGGACACACCATGTTTTCCATGCAGAGCTTCCGCGCACCAGCTGTGTCCATCATCGATAGTCGGCATCTTGACTTCCATGAAAGGAGTTGCAGGGTGTTGAGCACCTGGGAGTGTTGCCCCAGCTAGAACTCTAAGCGTATTTGAAGAGTCAATGTCCATGCAAATAGTAATTTCAGGGACTCCTTTGGGTGCTGGTGGAATTCCAATGATCTTGAAATAGCCAAGCAGATGGTTTTCTTCTGCTCTTGCCTCTTCGCCTTCATAGACAACAATCAGTGCTTCGCTTTGATTGTCTTGAACAGTTGTGAAAACCAACTCCTTGCGCGCTGGCATTGTGGTGTTTTTCGGAATGATTGGAATGAAGTTGTTGCCATCAGCCCGAATTCCGATAGCGAGGGGTGTTACTTGGATGCTGAGAAGATCTAAACTTCCAAAGGGGTCACCAATGCCCGATGCAACTGCACCTTCTATGGCTGCACCAGAAACAGCGGCTTCTAAAGGATCGATTTCTTCATACAGTGCCTTCTTTTTACTTATTTCCATTAGAAGTTTTCTGATTTTTGGTATGGATGAACATCCACCAACGACTACCACATCGCTCAAATCTTCAATCTCTACTCTTGCATCATGTAGGCACTGCTTTACAAGATTCTCACATTTCTCAAAAACCTTGCTGTTCACCATCTCAAACTCCTCCCGGCTTAAGACCTTGCATATTTTTGACCCATTTCCTAAGTTGACATCGATTTGAGCACTAGTCTGAAATGAAAGCTTCAGGATAGCATCCTGGGTTGCAACTCGTAGTAATCCCATCCTTCTGATCTCATCAATTCCATGGTTTGAGAATATAGATTCAGAATTTGGCAAAAGATACTTCATGGTGTTCTGAAGTAGATCTTCTCCTCCAATAGGGCTTCCAGTCAGGGCTCTGATCTGGGACACTCCTCCAGCTGTAGCTGATATAGCTACATCACAATACCCAGCACCCATGTTGAATACAAGGGCAATTTTTTCACTTCCACTGCCCATGTTCTCATGCACAGCCTGGTGCTGTTGTTGGGCATACAACAAAGCTACCGCTGTTGGCTCAGGCATCAATCTGACTTGAAGGCCAGCCATTGCACAAGCTCGTTCAACCCGAGTCAGTTGAAACCTGCTGAATGAAACTGGAATTGTCAAAACAACATTTCTTATTGGCCGCTTTAATTGATATTCAGCCATCATTTTCAATTCAACTAGAAATATCGCCAGAACTTCTTCAGGAGTGGTAGATCTCCACATATTATTCACCAAAGCTGCAACAAATGGACGAACACCAATGTCTAAAGTTTGCACTAGAAAAGGAAGGCTCTTGCTTGCATGAACAACTGGATCGGTGTCAACTCTTCCAATCAAGCGTTTCATATTGAAAATTGCAGCACCAGAGAGCATGTCATACTCATGGCAAAGTTCACTGCTGACTCCTCCTGAAGGAGTGTCATCCTTGAAGGTCACATATGATCTCATAATTTTCTGATTCCTAGTGTTCTTAAGAAGCTCTACCTGCGAACCATTCCAGACTGCAATACTACATTGTGAAGTACCAATATCAATTCCAACCGCAATCTCTGGAAAGGTTGAAGTTGTTTTTTCCTCCCCAGTGGTTTCGCTATCAGAAGCTACAGTATATATTGGTTCGGCCATAATCTGCATTTTGACCAATATAAAGTTATAGATTTAGATTTCAGTGGCTAATTCACCAAAGCTCAGGCCTTGCCATCAGTAATTATAGGTGGCACTAGAGGGTATGGAATAGTAAAAAACAATTCTGCACCTCAAAATGGGATTTACAGTCCACCTAATCATCTTTCGTACACTTCAAAACTTAAACTCAAGTGCATAATTCTTCTAATCAATCAAGCTATAACACAGAGTGAGAGAGAGGAAAAACACTTTTCGAACAAAATCAGGTTGACTCTTATCACTTCAGAATTCTCTATAAATGCAAAAAAATATTAAATGTAAACTTGTCATACTAGCTTTAGTTTTGCCAATAGGACTATACTTCTTTTTCATACAAAACATAGACTGTAACATCTAACATTAAATTCTGGCATATGGCTGGTAGAGCAGCAGAACTCCCCAAATATATATGCACATTTACTTGATGAAAGGCAAAATTTCTTTAAGATGTGTCAATTCAACACACCAAGACAGCAACCGCATAGAATTCAAAATAAACAAGATTCAACTATAATCTATCTCTACAGTCCACTTCTTATTACTAATAAGTCATTTCAAATATCAGCATAAATATTGAAATAAGATATGCACTTCCCCAAGTTTTTCTAACAAACACCTACGGAGAAATTATAAACAACTCGGCTATGTCAACGGTATAAAGACAGCAGAAACTTCATATTCGACCAATTCTAAGAAACAGCAAGACATTGAAAAATCACTACATTTAAGCCCCTAATACGAAGAAGAAAGGGAATTATACATCAAACTCATTCTGGAACAGCACAAACAGATTGAAAATTGCTAACTACTGCCAAGAAAATCAAATACCAAAACCTCCTCAGTTCCGCAAGCAACAAATTACAGAAAGAAAATAGAATTACCAGAAACAGTAGCGGCCGAAATGGTTGAGACAGAGAACTTTCTGCAGCAGAGAGAAGCGAGCAAGAGAGCAATGAGAGCAGACGAGAAGAAGATAATTCCGCTAGAGGTTACGAGACGAGTCGGTTGAAAAAGCACTGGAAAGAGCACAGAAATTTATAGACCCCATTGAAAGAAAGCTTGATCATCTTCTAGAGCTTCCCAGAGAGAACATCGGGTTTGAAACAAAGGGCAAAACGATAGCGGGAAATCTTACAGTGTGGACGCTCAGACTGTGGGAAGAAGCTGGATTAGATCAGACGGTCGAAAATCGAACATCGACATCAATTCATATGGGTCTTTATTTATTTCTAAAACAATATTATTTTACGTCATCTAAAAATAGTTTTTTGGTCAAATTTCCTTTTTTACCACCGTGAATTCATTAAATATAACTTCAATTTTCAAAATTAACAATTTTTTTTTGTTTGAAACGTGTAAAATGTATTGGTTTAACTTATTTGTAATTCATTAGAAAAAAGTGAAAATATTTTTAGAAATAAAATTTTTTTTCCGTTATCCAAGTTCATTATAAGAAATAGATTCATTTGATGGAGAAATTTTTTAATTTTTTGGAGCATGAATATGTTGAAAAACAAAGTTTAACATTTCATGGATGAATAAGTGTGGTAGAAAGTAAGACTTTTTTTCTTTTCTTTTCTTTTTCTTTTTTTAGTTTCAATTTCTTTTATAAAAAGAATTCTAGATCATGAAAAATTTTCAGAAAAAAAATATTTTATTGACTCTAAGTTTTTCACTATAAATAGAGAGAAAAACTCATGATGGAGGTACTAAAAAATCTTAGCTTTTGCTATGTTTCACACAAAACCTTAATCTTTCTATTTTGCATTTGTCGGATTTATTTTCTTATAAAAAATTGGTGTAAATTTGATAATTTTGATACAAAGTGTATTTAATCCATTGGTGACATTAATTTGAAAATTTATATTAAGCATAGTAGTTGAAAATATTTTTAAACATAGATATGAGATATAATATTCTTTAAAAAAATGAATAATTAAAAAAATCCCATTTTTAAAATTAATTTTTGAAATAAAACGAAATATCTGTTCCATAAAGGTGTCCGTAATGCTAGGTATCGTTTAAAGCGTGGCAAGGCCCAACAGTCTTGCCTGTTGGGCTGACTTGACCCAGTATCTGGCCCAAAGCCCAATACAATTTGCCAATCCAAAGGATGGATAATTCACAGGGATTAGTACCGGCCTATTTAAAAATCATAATTAGATGGAAAAGTATAGAATTTATACTATTATCATCAAACAATCCCTAATTAGATGGTATCCATGATACAAATTATATCCTTAGATCAATCTCAATGTTAAATAATTATTAAAATTTATAATTGGTAAATTGGGAGGTCAAATCCTTAAAATATACTAATGATACATTCCAAAATTAAAAAATCTCAAAACCAGAAAAACTCATCCATTTTCGAAAACACCCTTTTCTTCTTCCTCGTTTTTCTTTTCTTCCTCTAACCGCCGGTTTTCCTGACCCTCCGTTCCTCTTCTCCGACCGTGTGCCTTCATCTTTGGCCGGCTCCGTTTTCTTTGTCGCAAGAGCATTTCATCTTCGACCGACTTTAAAAAGAGATTTCCATCGGTTCTTATTCTCCGGATATTTCTGCCTGCCTTCGTCTCCGGCCAACGTTTGCCTACCTTCATCTCCGGTTGCCTCCATTTTTCTCAGTCGCTAGAGCAGTTCATCTCCAGATTGAAAGGTTTGCATTCCAACGGATGTTTTCAATTTCTTATTTGGTGTGAAATATTCTATATGTGAGGATATATAGTATAGTGATTTGATTCGGATATATCTTATAACTCAACTTGTATATATGCGGATATGCAGATATATACTATAGTGATTTTAAAAGTATATACGGGGATATATAAGTGGATATATCTTATAACTCAACTTGTATATATGCAGATATATACTATAGTGATTTTAATGTATATATGCGGATATATAAGTGGATATATGCTGTGATTTTGAATATATTTTTTGGATATGTAGATATATGTTTATCGAGACTTCAAAAGATGTTTATGTGATTTTGAATTGTCTTTGAAGATTGAACATGAATGTCAGAGTGAATTAAGGGGAAATCAATGTTTTTGAATGAGTAAATTAGGGTGTTGAAGGGGTGAATTAAGGGATTTGAATTGAAAATTAGTATAAGGCCCACAATAATTAAAAGATTATGATAATAATTTATGGAATTAAATCTTTTATATTTCAAAAAATGCAAATAACCATAATAAATAGGGGCACTTGCAAATATGGCAAAAAATTTTAGTAAAATAAGCAAAATAGCAACCACATTTAGTTTTTTCAAATATAGCAATTTTTTTCAGAAAAAATGGAGGTCCAGTTGTAAAATTACAAATTCACCATTTAATATATCTGATATATATCTGTAATATATCTAACTATTGATATATATCTCTGATATACCACTGATATAATAATGATATACAATTGATTTACTTATGATATAACCATGATATTTATTCAACTTCTAACATGTCTTACCACTGATATAGCGTATGGTAACCATTGATTTACCTTGCTAATACAATACATATGTATGTGATATATATTTGATATGTCTCTAATTTACCGTTGATATGCAAATGATATACCACTGATATAACTATGGTATCTACTGATATAACTTATTATATGTGATTATATGATTTACCACTAATATAATACTGATATATACCTAATTTACCACTTATATACCTCCGATATAACCATTATATCTACTAATATAACTATTATATATGTGTGTTGATATCTTTTTTTTTTTTTTTTGATATCATATGTGTGTTGATATCATATTATTATATCTAATATCTTTTTAGATGAAAACAATGGTGCAAAATTTTTTATTTTTTATTTTTGAAATATAAAGTTATTATATAAAAGGTTTACGTGGATCATGCACGTTCAAAAAGACAAGTTAACATTTTGATGTACTTTATAAATTTAGACAATTGATATCCCTTATATTTAGTATCTAATTAATATTAATATTGAATAAATAGTAGTGATATAGTAATCAACATTATTAATAATATTAGTATATTAATCAACAAATTGAAATGATAAACTATAATTTAAACAGCTGATATACCACTAAAAATTAAACATTTGATATAACTTATATTTAGTATATCAGTTGCAAATATATTTAAGTGGTATATTTGATAATGTATTATCGTGGTATATCCGATACTGTATATTAGGGGTACATCGAATGTATATCGAAAGTATATCGGAGTTACATCGGATGTACATTAGATATAGATTTGATGTATATCATATACAAATTTACATAACATGTATATCAGATATAGATTTGATGTATGATATACATCTACATCATATGTATATAAGATATAAATTGGATGTATATCAGATATAGATATACATTAGATATATATTAGATATCATAAGGGTAAAATTGGAATAATAAAAAATCTGAAAATAAAAATTCAAATATTTTGCTATATTTGAAATTTTGAAAAGCTGATGACAGTTTTTGAAATATATAAAATATTTTTGCTACACATTACCATTACCCTAATAAATATAAATGCAATACATAAGGGTAAAATTGAAATTAAAATGAAATCCTACCTGTAGAAATCTAAAAGTGTAAAATTAGAAAATTTTAGACATTTGTATAAATAAGTTTCTAAAACAGTCCTCTAAAAATATTATCCCTGATTCATATTAGTGATTACAAAATAGAACATGTAGAACAAAAAAAATCGTGAATATTTTATTTTAAAAAGTTGTTATTTATTGGTTGACTTTAATAATAGTAATTACATTTTTAATTTAATTAGATGATTCTTGATTTATATTCATTAGTTATTGATTAATTTAGATAGTGATAGACTATAATCACAATATCATTTAAAGAAAGAAGACTATTTCAAAATACGCTCTATCATTATGATTACATAATTTAACCATACTATACAAGTTGAGTATTTTTCATAACAATTAAAAAGTATATATAGTGGTGCACGAACTTAATTCTTTTTTTAATATGTCTCTAATTCAGTTTTGTTTAATCTTTTTATGTTTTAAAAAATTCAAATAAACTTCTAAATTGAATTTAACTCAAACAATATATATGTATATATTAAAGGTTTGTGATACCAACCAAAAAAAAAACTCAATCCATCGTGTAATCTTTAAATAATATAATATAGTGAGTCTGTGGCCAACTTGAACATAGTTTGACGGGTTAAGACACCTTCACTTTTATTGTCAACATGTCGTTTAAATGTTAAACTATTGACGATAAGACTTTATTAAACATAAATTTGAAAGTTTGCAAACTCCTCAAAATATATGGATAAGAGATCGAAACGTTTTAAAATCTAGAAATTATATATTGATAGAGCCCCAAAAGTGAAGAGATCGAATTTATAATTTAACCTAATTAAAATTGTTTGTTATATAGATGATTTGACTAAAAATATGTATACTACATATTTTCTTAAAGTAAAATGAGAGATTGAACCTTCAACTTTAAATAAAGTAACATGTGTTAGTTTTATGGAATTGGAAAAATTTGCAGATATGCTTACTCAAAAGTGTTTAACTATTCAAATGCACTTTATTTGACTTAGAAAAAAAACCTAGAGAAAATTTAGTTCATAACATAAATTTTATATGTATTTTCTAAATGCCACAATTTTTCATTTTTATTGGTATTTTACATTACATCTGAGTTTGATTTTGTTTGTACTATTTTGATAAAATTGCAAACTTTATATTGTATTTAAAAATGCATATTTATTTAACAATATTTATGTAAACACTAAAAGAAAAACTATTATATATTTAAAAATAGTTTACAACTATCATATCTTAGGAAATAACCTCGAACCCGCGCAAAAGCTCATTAATTAATTTCACCATCCACATTGTAACAATCATACAACTTGTACCCACCGTCCAAGTCAAGGTCAACAATTTATTATTTATTATTATTATTATTATTATTTGTTGATGCGTGGATTTCGGTCCTCCGATTCACTACCTCGCATCCACCAAACTTGTTGATCCGGGACTAGTACCTGCAAAATCAAATCGAGCTAAACCGGTGTGACTCTAGTCACACGGGCTCCGATGCTTAAGTTAGCAAGAGAATAACGTAAATGTAGTC